CTATGGTAACTTCATTTGCTTTAAAATCAATATTCCATTGGTGCTTGGGTTTTAGCAGACAGTACAAAATTAATCTGAATACATAAGAAAATGAATCACATCTTTTTTATTGATTAATAATAAACAGAATTTACATTCATTGTTTTGATCATTGTGCTTGAAACTCAGTAGCTATCAGTTATTCCAAAGACTGTTTCTTGATTGTATACTTCTGTATTTTAATAAATAGAAAAACGATATCATGTCTACCCAACAGAATGAAAATTGCGCATTAAGTTGAATATTTGTCTAATTGTTTCCTGTCATTTATATTGTGTCAAACTGGAAAGTGCAGAAGCCGCGCTTTGCGCATTGATTTTCTGTGAGTCAAAGGGGCAGGATTTACATTTGTATTTTATTATCAACAGTTTAATTCCTGATGTTAACTAGCAAAACAGATCAATTAAATTAGCAAATCTCCACAAGTCAGTTATCCTCTTTTCACATTAACCTCAATGCTTCAGGACACAGTTGAATGAGATGTGTGCTTTCAGCTCTAACCTTTCACTCTGGTGTGACGAAATGTATGCTGTAAAATCAACCAAATTAGAGCTAACATAGCGATAAAGCTTTCAGTGTATTATTGCATAGTGCAGCATTTTAGTGCGAGTGGAATAAGGTCAGGGTCATGCCCTTAACATACCAATTGACCATCATCTAATTAAAAAAGTACATTTAGATCATGGACTCTTTAACTCTTTTGTTTTGAATCACAGTTAGATCTGTCAAATCAATACTGAACTTCCTATAATTACTTTGTCCATCAACTCAGGATTACTGCAAATGTAATGTATTAACATACCCTTATTACATTTTGTACTGGTAACATATATAGTATACCACGTTTCTTCAGTTCTGCAGATAGAAGCTATTACTTTTCTTTCCCCCTTTTCATTTCTGCTCAGTGACTGTGTCCTTTTGGCCCTTCCCACTTTTCAGCAGTTTGCTGATTTAGCACCAATTATTGAGCATAAAGGAGCCCTAGTGTAAACAGCAATAATGATGTGCAAAGCTCAGTAAACCATAGCAGCAATGTAAATAATATGATTTTTAAAGTGAAAAAAACCCATAAAAGTCATAGCAATTATCATTTTAACATGCATTTCAAGAAAACATCACAGGTAGCAAATATAAACAGCACATCTAAATATTTGTCTTTGCATTAGAACACCAATCTAAGATACTGTTACTTAAACTATGGAACTTGAAGTTACCAAAAATTGCAGATTTGTGTATGGAATGGAACAAAGGACACATTTGTAAAGGAGAACAAAAGGGAACACAAGAGAAGCACATCACTAGGATAATAAAACAACTTTTATTTAACAAATATTAATTAAAACAAATATGCACTTAAATGGCCTCAGCATGCACAATTACATATTCTAGATGTTTCCTATAACATAGCAAATCTTCATCTTTTGAGTTTAATTTCCAGTTTAACTGGATAAGTCTGTGAGTGATTCAGCTCTGGGAGAAATTGAACACCTTAAAGTACAACTAGGGGTTTCTGCCAGACAGTCTAAAACAAATATCAAATGCTTTTACTAACTTAGAATCTGCTCTGCTCTTGACTCAAACCAAAAAAAAAAAGTATTTTAAGTTCTTAATCAGATGATACAGGCAATTAAAAACATGGGACAAATACGTCCCTTGGTCCTCAAAGGGTTAATTTGATGGGCAGGATCAATCTGATTAAAATATTTCATTTACCAATATGTTTATATATATTTCAGGTATATTTTAGTCTTCATACCCAAAAACTGTTTTTGTTACTTGACTCCTCTATGTCCACTTTTGTTTTTCACAATAACGCCCCTATGCTCATATCTAGAAGGTGGCATCCATGGATGGCAGTCTATCATAAATTACACAATACATTTTGGTCTCATAGCTGGGGTTGACTTTCTCTAATGCAGATTCATGTACTGTTTTTTCAGAAACTGTGAGAGGGTCTCAAAAACTTCAATTACAGGCTAACTTGCCTATTAGCTTTGGAAAGGGCAAGAACTTATTTTAAAAATTCAGCTCTAATTGAATTCAATAGGGGTTAAGAATAACTTTCAGAACATCAATACAGATCAGAGAACTGTACCCAGGTACATTTTGCTCATTTCTACTCTAGACAGAGGGCCCTTATCCCTTTGCTAAACTCAGCAAAGATGGCCTAAGTATATTACATTGTGTTATATGTGATGACCTGCAACAAACCAGTTTTGCAGATGTAATTAGTACCATGAACAGTTTGATTCAATTTTGACTTTGCCATGTGTTATACTATACCTCAGCATGGCTTTATAAAATGAGACTATTTGATCATGATATATGTCCTATATGCCACTCACCTACAGTGGACGTGTGTTACATCTTTTGGATATGTCTCCTGATTCAAACCTATTGGAAAGAAATGTTTATCTTTCTCACGTGGACACTGGATATTAAAGTACCCTTGTCTGTGGAGCTGTTGCAGGGAAATTTTTACCTTTCTTGCAGGCTCCAGGCACATTTACTATTTACTTCTACTTCTATGTAAGCCTATCCTGCTTCAATTGAAACATTCAGAATCACCAGATTGCAAGCTCTTCATAAAATTTATCAGTTAATTTACACTGCTAGAGCATGCTTGGCCAAAACCATTTGGGGTCTAAAACTGGAGCAGATGAGTGGAGCTGCTTAGTCCTGGTAGTTACAGTATTCCTTTCTAGAACTGGCAAGTCAACCTTGTAAGATTATTTCCAACCTCCTTCATGACAACATTTACCTGTATGGGAGGGAGTGTTCAATTAGCTTGTATGTGAATGTGTATGGTGTTTGTTTGTTTGGTTTTTTTTTGGTCTTTTCTTACTCCCATCACTATTGGTTAGGGGCTCATGCAACTCTAACTGCCATTGTTCTGGAAAACAAAAAATAAACACCTAATAAACATTGAATAAAAATAACTCTATTTTTAGGTATTTTTATAACCTCATTTTTCATACATAAGCTTCTTAATGTTACATGTGATTGGCTTAGAAATCTGGCATTAGATCAGACTATGGTGTTGAATCAGTGAATGAATAGAAACAGTTTACCTAGCAAAGTTAATTTTCACTTTAGAAAGTGCATGTATATTTTGCAAACTGGGTGATGACTTAGCTTAGTAACTAAGAATGGCGATAGATAAATCAAAATTTGGCCAGTTCAGTAAGGAATGGACAAATTTCGATCTATCTATGGCCTTTCCTATTCCAGAGAAGTTGATCTAATGATTGACTTCTCTCGAACTAGCTTGTTCTGAAAATGTTCCAATTGGCTGTAGCACTGATTAATGTATTTTGATAGCAGCGGAGTCTTCGCTGTCAGAATGCAATACCACCGTGGGGAGGATTCCCCCATCCACCTCAATTGTCTGTATAGGGGAATCCTTTCAGTTTTTTTCAATGGCCAAGCTAAGTGTTTAAATATCCAATTAGGTGTTAAGTAAATTAAGTGAGCAATTGTTTTAGTAAATCATCCCTAAATCCCTAAATATTAAAAGACAATTAGACGGTCAGCCCACTGATATGTCAGGTTCTCGTCTATCTCTCCCAGTAAAACAATTTTCACTGGTTGAACAAAAAACTGTTATGTATATTATATATATATATATATATATATATATATATATATATACCCATCTTTATTCTCTCTGTTTTATTTTATACTTTGCTTAACAGAGAATTCAGCAGGGTATGTGAGACCCGGGCTACAGTGGTTATATATCTCAATTACATTAACCTAATTCATTAAAAAGATGTGGGTCTTCAAACTGTAATGAGATGGCTCCTAATTGATGTTTTCAATTATCCTTTTTTATATGAACGATTAATTTGGGCACTTCAGAATGTAGTAGTTGGGGGAGGGGTGTACTTTCACATTTATATGGTATACTATACTCTAAAATAGGTAAGTCCAACTCCTCTTCTTTATTATAAGTAACTAGTAAACAATTATGGGAAATCAGAGATTCAATCCTTTAGAGTTTAGATATATGAACAATCATGAGTATGTTTCTTGATTTTAACTGTTTCTTATAGGTAGATTAATCTCCTAAATAGAAAGGGATCATGTGTAGCACAAACATAAATGCGGGAGCAAAGCAACTTTTTAATGTTACCTATTAGTGAAGATACTAATCCTCCTTTGTTAATAAAGCCAATGCAGAAGGTTTTAGTACAATTGTTTTTTAGGAGTTAATTCAATTAGCTCCTGCATGATTAAAGAAAACAACTTATAGATAAACAATTAAATCTGTTATTTTCTCCTTCCAGGTCTGTTTAATGCATTTAAAGTAGATCAAAATGCAACACACTATTATAGTATTGTAACAATAACATTCTGACTTAATTGGAAATGTTTAAGACACAAATAGAGAATCCTAGCTATTACCACACATCAAATATTAATATCAGGAAAGCACTAAATGATACTGGAAGTCCTCCAGCCAGGAAATTTGGTGGTCTCTACCTGACTTGCTGCTGCTTCTAATGCATACTGTGAAAAGCTCATGATGTGCACTAAAATCAAAGTAAACAGTTTAACCTCCCTGACGGTATGATTATGTCAGGAATTTTGTACCAAAAGCGGTACCATTTTTTTGCATGGAAATTTGGTGTTATGTATTGTAGGCCTGCAATTCTTAGTAATTACTTACTTAAACCTGAGCAAAGAAGACTCTAGTAGACAACCCGGATGTGATAAAGTATGAAACACAAAATCATGAATTATAATCTAATAAATAATATAATTTTATTCAATAATGTAATAAAAAATAATGACATTTGTCAAACAAAGAAAATTCAGTAAACATCCTGAGTGTGATAAATTTTGAAACATGGCACTGCACACAGTCCGACATCACAGTCAGGGCAATGGAATCTGGTTTCTTTTCGAACTTTCTTTCCATTGCCATGTCTCCTTGAGCAGCACACCACACACATCCTGGTAGGTGCTGCCTTTTTTGTGGTTGGCGGGAAGTAGTCCATGAAATGGCGACCAGTCAGGCGTTCTGGATTGACGTCAACAGCACGATGTCCAGATCTGTTCATGGCTACTGATGGCGTTTGGTAGTTGATAAAAATCTGCTCAGCCACCTTCCAGATAAACTCAGAATGAATAAGAGGCTTGTCACTCTTTGCTCTGTGAAGGATGTATGAGTTCCAAAGGCATTGTTCAAGAAGATGCCTTAATATCTTCTGATAATATTTTTTTTGTTGTTTGCGCATAGCCGGATAAAATGTCATTGTCTGATCGGCTCTGTCCACACCTCCCATGGTGTTATTATAGTCTATCACGAGTTGCGGCTTCAGCTCATCTTTCCCACCTCTTGTGTGGACCATGCCAGTGGACAAATTATGCACAGTGCTCATGAGACACACGTCCTTCTTGTCTCGCCATCGCATTGCCATCATCTTACCCTTTTGCCAGGCAATTATTTCTCCGGTTTTGAGTTGTTTCTTGGCAAACGTAGATGGCATGCCACGTCGATTAGACTTGACTGTACCATAAGCATCGGTCTTGTTTTTTATCAAAACCTCATACAGTTCCAGAGACGTGTAAAAGTTGTCCGTGGTCACACAATATCCCTGGTTCAGCAACGGCTCCAGCAGTGTAAGGACAGATGATGTGGCCATCCCATAGTCGCTGTACCTGGGGTTGAACTGCGTGCCTTTACCAGTGTAAATGACCGAATTCCAGATGTACCCGGTGGATGACTCGCAGAGCATGTAGAATTTGATGCCAAACCGCGCTCTTTTGGATGCTATGTACTGGATCCAGCTTAGGCGACCCTTGTAGGCCATCAAGCTTTCATCCACACTGACGTCACTATCTGGCACGTAGGTCCGCTGGAAATTGAACACAATAATTTGGTACACCTCCCAGATTTTTTTAAGTTTGGGCTGAGGATGCATGGCCTCATCAAATTCCTCATTGTTAGTGAAGTGTAAATACTTCATGATGAGGGAAAACCAATATTCGGACATAACGGTGCCAAAAACCGGAGTGGCCAGTAATTTATTGGTGGTCCAGTACTATTTCTGGAGCGGTTTTCCTACTACGCCCTGCAGAATGATGAGTCCCAGAAATTTCCAGATGTTCTCTCTGCTCACCGGTTCCCACTTTTGGTTTCTGGAAAACCTGGCTTGCAGCGTAGTGGGTTGCTGCTCTTGGTAGCGGTTGGTCTCCGTGACAATTTTTTCAATTACCTCCTCAGTGAGGAATAATTGCAGGTAGGCCAGAGGGTTGTTACGCTCAACATCTACCTTCATCCCAGGTGATCCAATAAATGGGAATCTTGGGGGCGCTACATGGTCTGTATCGCAGGCAATAGGGCACCAAGTGTGCACATTCTGCTGAGGTCAGGAGCAGGATCATCGCCGCTGTCACTTGCCAGATCGGTGTCAGTGTCAGATGACAAATCTCCCCATGACTCACTTTCGCTCAGTTCTGCGGACACCTCCACGTCGCTGTCGATGTCACTCAGTTGGTCTAAAAGTGCTTTGGACATAATTGGGCGCTTTTTTGATGCCATGTTTTATTTTTATGGGCACAAATGCCAGTAAAATGTCAGATCTGAGGGGATCTGAGGTGATATATTGTAATCCTCTCAGATTACAATGTATCATCTCTTTTATATGTATGTGTGTGTGTGTCACTTTAAATTTTAAAATTTCCTCCTAGTTCCGCTCTCGTGCACCGCGGCTGCTTGCAGAGAGGGGAACTAGGAAGTCAGATGCCGGGCAGCGTTCTCACCGGCGATCACAGCAGGGAACATCGCTGAATCACGGGGAGAAGGTAGGGGAAGTCTGCTGTATGCTCTGCAGTTTAGCCCGAGCGTGACTCGGGGTTACCGCTCCTGGACATGAAAATTAACCCCGAGTCATGCTCGGGAACACCGCCAAGGAGGTTAAGAACAGCAGAGGAGCCGGTTGAACTGTGAAAAACTGAAGATATGGCAGGAGTTTGGCTTCAAGTGCATTCTGTTTTTTTCTGGTCTGTGAAAATAATAGTTGCCTGACTGTATCTGGCTTCAAGTCACAGACCCAAAACATGTATGTAGCAAATTAAAAGTGGAGAAAAATAATGTTGGCAGGTGATATGGGATTCTGTTGCTAAGACCTCTTGTGTTGTATATAAAGAAAACTTATATAAAATATTGATGCATTGGTACAAGACCCCTGTAGTGCTCCATGCGAACAACCTGAATCTGTCTGACAAGTGCTGGAGATGCATGGAAGGAGCAGGTACATTTGCACACATTTTTTGGTTTTGTCCACAGATTACAGGTTATTGGGTTACGGTTAGAAAGGTATTGGAACAAGTATTCAATGTTATCCTACCCCTAGACCCGCTACACTATCTTTTGGGGATACCCTTTATGGGTATCCCCAGGCAATCTAAGAGGTTGGAAGTGAATATTCTGACTGCTGCTAGAAGGGTGATACCACGACTCTGGAAATCAGTAGATGTTCCCACGCTAAATCATCTTTTAAGAGCAATCTCTGAAATCAGGGAAATAGAATATCTTACGGCTCTAGTCACTTTCACTCAGGTCACTTTCACTCTATATGGGAGCTATGGGATCATTCTCCCTTTGGTGGACTTCCTTCCTCTCCCCACCCCCCTTATATAGTCCAGACACTTCTCCAGGTAACATGCCTTTGACAAATAATGTAATCCAATGATGTGCAGGTTTATGATTTATGTTTTTGAATTGTGCTGACTACCATGCTGTTTATCTATTATTATTATTATTATTTATTATTATTAATAGATAATCTATGTATATATTTCTCCTGATTTTGTCTTCCTTCATACTAATGATGGTTTTCTTTCATTGCAACGTTTACACTTATAGTGTTGTTGTAACTATGTTCTGTTTTAAAAAATGGGCACTGGCCCTTAATAAAAATATACAATGTTAAAAGTGGAGAAAAATCTGAACTTCTGGTGTTAGTCTATTATTCCAGTCAGTGGGGTTGATTTTCTAAAGGAATAGAGAAAGTTTAAGTGGCTCTTCACTTTAAAAAGAGAATTTTCACTTAGCTAAGTGAATGAAGTGAAGCTGTGCTGATATCAATCATCCAATCATATGCAAACACAAATCAAACCTTTTTTTTTTATTTTCATGACAAATAATTGGATATTGTTTGCAATGTGAAATTTTTTACTGCAAACAAATATACCAAGGAAAGATATTATAATACAAAACAAACCATGTCCAAACAAATAACCAAAAAAAAAAAAAAAAATCCAACATTAAAAGAGAAGTATGTTAATTTTTTTCTAAATTATACTTACCTAGGTGGGTGCAGCATTGGTCCCCCGATGGCTCTAAAGGTGAGAACTGAGCAATCACATGATCGCTGATCATGAGTCCTGCCACACTGACCAGAGAGCAGGACTGTCAGTCACCACTCTCTGCTTAGCCCCCCCTGCATTCACTGGAGCTCTGGGATGTGAAGGGGGAAGGAGCAGCTGGCTCAGGCTCTTAACAGCTTGCTGAGAGGCTGAGCCATGTGCCACTCCAAAGTCTGGGGTGGATCCCGACTTTGAAGTCAGGATCTTTCCCCAGCCTGGACCGGCTGAGAGACGTCGGCCGACAACTGGTTTCAGCACTCCTGTGATCCACAGGAGAAGTACAGCCAAAAGAGCTTTGGCTGTACTTCTCCTTTAACCACTTCAATACAGGGTACTTTTACCCCCTTCCTGCCCAGGCCAATTTTCAGGTTTCAGTGCTCTCACACTTTGAATGACATTTGCAAGGTCATGCAACACTGTTCCCAAACTACATTTTTACAATTTTGTTCACACAACTAGAGCTTTCTTTTAGTGGTATTAAATAACCACTGGGGTTTTTATTTTGAAAAAAAAAACCAAGTTTTTCTTTGTTTCTGTTATAAAAGTTTGCAAATAAATAATTGTTCTTCATAAATATAGGCCAAGATGTATTCTGCTACGTTTTGTTGGTGAAAACAACCCAAATCAATAATTATTATTTAGTCTGTAGGAAAGTTATAGCGTTCACAAACTATGGGATATATCTGAAAATTGATCAGTACTAACGTACTGACAACAAATCCAATTTCTTGAGGCCCAAAAATGTCAGAACAGTACAGCTATCCCCCAAATGACCCCTTTTTGCAAAGTAGACAGTCCAACGTATTTCATAAGAGGCATGGCAAATTTTTTGAAGTTGTACTTTTTTGTCATAATTTTTTGGAAAATGAAGAAATTTAAAAAAAAGTTCACAATTTTTTTTACATACTGTCACTAGTGCAGTACAGCGTCATCATATAACTGGTGTGGTGGTGATCAGGGACTGGTGACAGTACAAAAAAAAAAAATTATAATTTTTTTTTTTTTTTTTTTTATTTATTTATTTTTATTAAATTTTTTCTCTTTTTTTTAAGATTTGTTTTTCATATTACACTATGACCAAAGTAGTGTAATGTTACCATAGTAACATTGTACTACTTTGGGGAAGTGATCAGTATTTTTTTTTTTACACAATTTGATTGATTATAGCAAAGAAATTCTTTGCTATAAACAAGCATTTAACTGAATGACATCGATTCATTCAGGTTATTTTTGTTGTGATTAGCTGTGATTGACCTCGGCTAATCACATGACACAGATGGGCTGTGATTGGCCCAGCCTGTGCATGTGATCTCTGTGACCATTCACAGCTAGACACACTTGTATACAATGGATGGCATCAAAGAAAGCCATCCATTGTATACAACTGTCATGTGACCTGCTGTGATTGGTCACAGCAGGTCACATGGTATTGGCAACGGGGCCAGTTCACAGCTAAGTCATGGACCGTGTCCAAGGTACACGGCCATTGACAGATGCGGGCATGCACAATGCGCGTTCCAGGAAGGACGCCATGTGGCGTTCACCCGGAGGGTTGAAGTGTTCGCCTGGCCTCCATGTGTCCATAGGACAGGCGGCAACTGGTTAAATATTTAATATATTTAATGCATCTCTCTGGTCCAAAATTGTTTTTTCCTTATTACTTTAACATTACTGAAGTTGTTGAGTCTTTTATGTTCTCATCAGTTTTGCACCAAACCAGGGTTGCCCTAAGCTTTTCAAACTTGCTTAGAGATCCCTTGTGTTGAAAAGCCAACTGTTCTAATTTCAAATTTAAATTGACTGCTGATATCCATTCTCCCACTGGCAATGGATGTGTGGTGATATCCACATTTGTATAATCACTTTTCTAGCAGGAAACAATGTTGTACTAAGCCCCATCTCAAATTAACTTAATCTCAAGTTTTCTAGATGCCTGAAAATACAAGTAAATGGATTAAATGCAACACTTGTTGAAAAGAATAACAATAATGTGTTGAAAAGCATCCTTCCAATATCCTACTAGCTTAGGACAACTTCAAATAAGATGTATGAAATCTCGCAGGGCCAGTCCATAAGTAGTAAAATTGGAACTACCCTGAAGGCATGTTCTGTATAGTGAAGGAGAAGTTCTATACATCCTTTGGACTATAAATGAATAAGTAATGCCAAGTACACACAGTCAGAAAATTGGATGAAAAATACTGCTTTCAAAGTGATTGTACAGTAATCTGATCATTAGTACACAGCTTTCGAGAGCAGATCAGTTCAGTTCATGCAAAATTATCCGAAGGAACAAACACGAACATTTTTCTCATACGATACCAGAATGTACGATTTTAATTTAATCAGTATAGTAATCATCAAAAAAAAAAGACCACTCATACTCAAAATTAAAAGAAGATATAACATTATAATACAATACATT